CCCCCCCCCCCCCCCCCCCAGTTCCCGTAAGCTGAGTAATTCTGTTGTACTTTCTTCTTCCAGCAGGTACGTATGGCCTGAAACTATAGTTGGAACTACTATTGCAGTATTTCCTTAGTGTGTGGAAGAGACTTCATAAACCACAGTATAATATTTTGTATTTGTGCACAGCCCAGCCCATCGGGAGTGGGAAGTAACTCCCATGTCTAATGCTCTGTCTTTACTAGTCCTCAACCAAAAATAATCTCTTTTATTATAGGTGGGGTGGGAATAGTGTGTGTGTAAGATGCACCAGAATTTAAAAAAAAAAAAAAAAAGAACAGGAAATTGCCCCTGCATCTGTGAAACACAAAATCTTTGTTCAGGTAAAAATTTCTGGTCATCATAGCAACAGCGGGATGGTTACTTATTTTTGGATTTTCATTTTCACTGATTTACTTAATGCACTGACAGTTAATCTGTAGTGAACAAGAACTCAAGGGGTTTTAGTTTAGTTTAATTTTGTTTTTAGTGGGTGCATCTACATGTTTATTAAAGTGCCATAATTATGGTGCATTAAGTTTAGTACTTGTAATAACAGGTACTAAATGCTCCGTAATCAGTGCTACTGCGCATTAGCACAGATAAATGCTTTTTGTGTGGCACTTAATGTCCACTGGACTAATCTACTGTCCACTGGCAAAACCTGTGCTAATACATTAGCAATACAATACAAGACATCTAATGTCCACTGGCAAAACCTGTGCTTATATATTAGCATATTAGCACAGGTTTTGCCAGCTGTGCTAATGTGCAGTAGAATTAGTCCAATGGGCATTTAGCATCTCGTATAGACGTGCCCAATGTGTACCAAACCACGGTTGCTTTAACTAGGAGGAATAAATAGCCGAATAGGAAATATGGTTTCTATCAGTGCTTCTTCCCCAAATCTGTGCACCAAAGGGAGAGTGGGAAGGTGAGAACATGACTAATATGCATATTTATTGTTTTCTGGAGGAAGGTTAGTGGATACAACTGAGTGGAGGTTTAGGCCCTGTGAAGCTATCTGGTCTCATAAATAGATGCTCACTTGTTTTCCCATCCTTGATTATATGCATGTACCTGCTGCCAAACACACACACACACACACACACACACACACACACACACACAGAGCCAAAGTTTAACTTTTGCTGCTGTGGTTTTCGTACTGGTGTCAAGGAAGACCCCTGTCAATGAGCAAAGCCATATTCTCTTCAAGGTTTTCTTCCCTTTGTATCACAAGATGGTGAAAATCATTGTGGCATCAGAAAAGATAACATTGTCCCCTTGAATGAAGCTGTGTCCAAGTGTGCTATTGCCTTCTGCTGGACAAGATCAAAACTGCTCAGCTACGTAGAGTAGACTCCATACTGATCATAGCTCAAGTGATAGGGTCTGTGCTCTTCCGGAGGAGGGAGGAGGTGGGATGGTACTCTTGATCCCTGTTAAAATTATAAAAAGGAAAGAAATGTCAGCACTGCAACTTCAATGACTTTCCTTCAGAATTGCAATTTTGACCCTCAAAAGGACTAATGTCTTAGTGAAAATTGTCATGATTTTCTTTGCCTGGTTTATAGCTAGCTGTAAATGACACTAAGTCTTTCTATAGTACGTTTCATCCAGGGATCTCAGTGTGCTTTGTAAAGATCAGCAAATATCAATTTTGCTTTTACAGATAAAGAGATTAAGATTGAGAGGGGGCAAGTCCAAACACATCAAAAGCAGCTCTCAATTTTAGGTTCTCCATCTTAGATCTGATGCTCAGAAGTGCTTAGATTCAGCTGAAGTTAATGGGATCTGTGGGTGCTTTGATTCTCTGAAAGTCAGACCAGATTCCTCTCAGACTGGGCACTAGAAAACTGAGACACCCAATTGTAAAAAATGTTAGTGTAACTAGCTTGTGGAAGACCATGCAGTGAGACAGTCACCCACAGAGAATAGCAATGAGAAGTCCTGATTCTCAGTCTAGCACTTGATCTTTTCTACTAGTCCATTGTCTGCCAGCAAGTTGTCTTTTGAGGTTTACAACAGGAGTTGGGCTAAACTAGTGGTACTAGTTCAAGTGTGTTTGGAAAGAGATTCCAGTTCTCATGGGTTTGCACTAGAGCTGGTCTGAACATTTTGGCACCCATGAAACCTTTTTTTAAAGAAGGATTTTTTTCTAACCAGGCACAACCTGGTCCATCCAATTTTTCCAACCAGGAAATTTTTCCAACCAGGTCCATCACTCTGGGGTTTAAATCAGAATTCCTGCATGGTATCAAACTGCCCATCACTCAAGTAGAATCAGGGCAAGGTGTTGGGCCAGCCTTTAAAACATTAGAAAACTTGGATATTTAGGACAGGATTTGTACAACGGAGGGGTAAATCCAATGCCAAATCACAGGGAACAAAACTAGACATAGCAGATTACTACTTGTAAAGGGATCTGAGCTTGTATGTATTTCGATACATTGTGGTATGGGTTTTGGTACATCTCTACTTTTTACAGTTGCTCTATACATTGGTCTCTGTCTGGGGCACATTTCCTGTGATAGATCTGGGTGACTAAGATTGATGGATATAAAAGAATTAGTATTGATGACACATTATGCAAGGCTCAATAAGAACCGCAAGCATGCCAGATGCTTGAGAAGTTGGGAAGCCTTCAGTCATTTTCTTTTAATGTTATTATTTCCTTGGCCTGGCCTTGGATTATTTTCAAGAAAAGTGTGACAAGAGGCCAGCAGTTGACCGGAGAAGGCTTTTGATTTTCCGTCCAAACCTGTTAAATTGTGAAATGTGCACTTTGTTTTCAGATCAGTGATTCTGGAGTAAGTTGAGCCCTGATTTGCGTTTTAAATGAAGTTGGATGTGGTTTTAGGGAGGACCTTGAGCTCTGGTAAAGACGAGTGCAGCCCATTGAAATCAATGGACCTTTGTTAATTTACACCAGTCGAGGACTCAGCCTGGAAATGACATGGGGAGCAGTGGGAAACCCCAAAAAGCAACTTCCAGACATAAACACATTATGTGCAAAGCATAAACATTATTAAAACAACTCTAGCCCTGCAGGGCAGGGTTTTTCTGTAATGCTTTCTTGATTGCACTTCCTCAAGGCTGGTGAAGTGAATAGTGGGCTGATTATCCATGGACCGTGATGTAAATCAGTATGAAACTGTTCCCATTGTATGTGAGAGATGAACTTTGCATATTCATTGGAAGGCAATAGTCAGTCCTCTTCATATTCCTCCTTCAGGCTCTCCCAGGGCCTGATCCAAAGCCTGTTGAAGCCAACGGGTGCCTTTGTCCTGGCTCCTCAATCTGTTCCCCATTGCTGTTCTCCAACCTGAGCTGCAGAGGTTTACTGTGTTAAAAAAATAACGCCCTGCAAACACGGCCTACAGTATTGACCATTTAAATGATCACAGCTGTATATGATGCATTGAAAAGCAGATGGATCAATGACTTCTGGTGCAGAACAGATGACCAGAGAGGAGGAAAAATAAAGCAAGAAAAAATGCTCTCTCCACGCACAAGTCCAGGACACGGTAGTGAGCAGTAAAAAAGGGCCACATACAATGCATATAAACAGGATAGTTTTTGATCAAACCAAAAAAACCCCACCTCAGCGAGGAATCTGTGTCCTTTTACATCATGCTGCGTTTGAATGAGACTGTGGAGGTATGTCTGCTTCATGTGTCCAGCTCAGTGCACGCCCTTGCTCCAGCTCGCACACGGCCCACCAGGAAATGCAGCAGTGAAGTCTTTCTGAGGGCATCCCCTCCATCAGCTGATGTACTTGACTCATGTCCAGGGCGTACCCCCTAAATGCTGCATCACCACACTTCCCAATTTGATGGGTTGGTGTGAACAGGGGCGGATACATAAGCTGGGCTTAGGAACATCCCTCCTCGAATGCCCTAGGAACACAGTGCAACCAGATACCAAGAGCCTCACCCATAGTATGCACCACTGACTTCAACAGGACTTTATATTGCTTACTGTGAGCATCAGGACCTGGGCTTTAGCAAGTCATCACAAAAGAATCAGCCCCCCTCTAAAGATTTGTGTGAGTGCCGCATTTTACAGACGGCCACTCTTGGTTTGTACAGTCAGAGGACAAGGCTTTTTGAACAAATGCACAGCATGCATGCATTAATCTCATTACTCAATTATGACGGGCTTTTTCTCCTAGCACTTTAATTAAGGCTCATTTATTAAGCATTATACCATCTTTTGGTTAAACAGAAAAATCAACCCTAGGAGCTATACATGCCAAAAGATAATTGCCCCTTGGAATTCAGATGCTTCAGTAACTTAGACTGAAATCTGGGTGGATATATTTAAGTGTTGTTGTCTTTTTTCCCAAGCATATTTCATAATTTTTAAATATTTCCATGCCATAAACTTCAATACAAACTCCAGATCTAGTTAGGCAATCAAAATGTAGGGGCTTTTGGATAATTCTAATCAACCAAGTGCATTTCAGGCATATTTCTGTTTTCAGAGATGAGGTTGTTAGCATAATTTATTGTAGATATGAATTGCTGAGGGATAATAAATGGCACAAATGACTTTTTGAGGAACCTCAGGAAGGTGAGGGATGAATTTTAATTTTGTAAATTCAGATTATGATTTGCACCAGTGTAACAAAAATTAGAAGCACTGTTTAACTTTGTTGGAGACAGGGTAGTGAACATTTGGTCTGACCCAGGATGGCTGTTCTTATGTTCTTGTGCGTCTTTGGGGCTAGTGAAAGTTTTCCTGAAACCTTTAATAGAAATAGGATTGACACTAAGACTAACTCTATATTTTAAGGGTCTAATCAACAGATTGATCGAGGAATTAAAAAGCGATATAGAAACAATGAGGGGAAATAATTGTGGAAAAGAAATCACACCAAAATGCCACTTCTCAATTGACGTGTGGAAAGAGAAGTGCTGTAAAGAGCATAGCAGAGATGGAGCATTTGCTCCTGGAAGTGCAAGTTATTTAGATAGCTCTGATGTTTGGTGGGAGAAATGTAGGAGGGAAAAAGCACGTTTCTCCATGCTTGATGGGAATTCGCCAAATCACAGAGAATTTGGCCACAGACCACCTAATTAATAGGCCAATAATGCATCTTTCAGTTACTGTTAATACTGACTTTCTGGTGAAGGGCTTAGAGGTTCTGTCCAGATTCTCAGCAGAGATTATATTCCTCTGAAAAAGCTTCCAATGGACCTCACACGTGTTCACCAATAGATGTTTTGGGCAGAATGATGGAGAAAGGGTAAAAGCGCAGATGTGGAATTAGACTCCCACCGAAGTCAAGAAAAGTTACTTGTATCTTGACGTTGGGACCTACTACGACATTATGGATTGAGAGACCGCTGGCTTTTGGAAAATTTGATGGATGATAAAAGAGAAGGGTGCAGTAACTTGGGAATAATGGCTCTGCATTGACTTCTCAGATACGAACAACCTACAGACATTGGAAAATAGATGTGAGACCTTGCGAACATTCCTTAATTTTGATACAGAATACTATTTAGTGACATATTTGCAACTGAGCATCTTCTGGACTTGATGTTTTAACAATGTGATTTACTGTATTATCCCATTATGGTTTCTGCTGCTCCATAGACTCTTATTAAATGGTAATCCCACTCCCCTCTTGCAGACATCATCCTTGCATCGAGGGATAGCCGATGATGATGATAAGGGCAGGTAACTTCAAATGTTACTGCTTTGCCACAGCTTTATCTTGGAGGCCTTAGCCCGTTAACCATAATGTTTGTTAGGTACTGCTTCAGTCTGTCCCATTGGAAAGGATACCGCACAGCCCTTTGCTGACCACCCAAAGCTATTCTGTTTTGGGCTGGTTGCCATCTTTTCTGGGCAAATGTACAACTCATGTCTTGAACTGTGCCAGACTCACTGTTTGAGGTTCATTTTCAGCTTTGGAGCCTGGCTGCACAAAAAGGCTATATAGTAGTATTCACGTTACATATAATCTGACTCCCACTAGATAGTCTTCGGGGATTAACAAGGTACCCGCTGCCATACAGCATGTTTTGGCAGTAAGAAGAGCTGGTGAATCCCATGCCATCCTTTCTTCTGAGAGTCTTCAAGTTTCTTTTTGGCACGTATGTGCAATCAGGCCCAAGATATAAATACTGCCAAGACTTCTTGCAGAATACATGACATTTATATTGCTATGCAGTTTACTGATCTAAACATACCATTGCCTTGCCTTGATAGCCCAGGGCAAGTACTAACCAGTTTGTATGTAAGCATCACGCCATCTGAAAGGATGAGCGTGAGTAGAGACAGTATGTGCATCATCTATGCATGTTGAGAGAACATGATTCCCAGCTGAGGGTATCCAAATGTGTCTCCATCCTGAATTTGCATCTCTTTGGGTAAAAATGATGTGCCAGAACTAAGCATATGGTAATGTAAATACAACGGGTAACTA